TTGCTCTTTTAAGTACTTTATATCAAAATTTATAAAATCGGGGTAATTTTTTTTTTTTTTTTTTTTTTTTTTAAATTTATTTTTTTATAGTTATTATGAACAACAGATCTTCCATTTTCAGTGGGTTACAATAGTTACTGGCGATACTTTACGGAAAATTTATTTCCCGTGTCTTTCAACTGATCTTCCTTGGTATCTTTGCGAACTATCTAAAAGTATTGAGCATTTCATTTTCTTCTATCTTCTAACGTCTCTATTGCTTAAAACAGAAAAGGTAAGGAGGATAGAACAATCCAATTTATTTATAAACTTTTAGTTAATCCATACCTTTCCTACTTGTACTTACACTTCAAATGACAACTTTCACTAATCGAGATATTGAATAAACTATTTCATTAAAATTTAAATCTAAAGGTACTTAGAACCCTACTTCGATATTTTCTATTGATATTTTCGTTAGTCGCAGCAGGTGCTGGATTTCAAGTCACAACTCAAGTGAGGCTCACGTCATCTAAGGTGACGAAAGTATAGTAAATCAAATAGTTCAGTAAGATATGGAAAATAAGTTCAACCACTCGGAAGAAAAACATTTTATACACGTGGCAGCAACAACAAAAGCATCGGCAGTGTGGCATGAGCGAACAAGCACAACAAACAAACAGCAGGAGGACACGACAGAAACCGACTCGGAACGCTTTTATACGCCGGACGAATTTGAGCTCATACCGCCCAATCTAATAATCCGCAGCTCAGCGCCAAAATCCCCAAGTGAGTAGCTCAGCAGCGTCGAGACGGTAGATGTAGATGCGAAGCGGCTTAATTATCAATAGATCCCTCCTTCTAGCTGACAACGAAGGACGCTGCATTCCCAACGGCCACGCCCTAGCCGGCAACTACCAAGAACTGGTGCAAGACATCCAGTTGCATTTGTCGGAGCATAGAAGGTGTCCATTGCAGTCCGACGTGCCGGAGTACTGGCAGGAGGAGCCTAAGAGCTACCGGATCGGGTTTGTGGAGCTGTTTCGTCAGCGCATGCACTACGACCGACTTGGCATTCCGTTGACATCACTCGAGCTACTCTACATGGGTGACAGTGAGCGTGAGTGGCTGCGGCAGCACCGTAGGCGAGAGCGGGAGTACCGGCAGCAGCAGCAGCATCAGCAGCAGCAGGGGCAGGGGCAGGAGCAGCATCGCTACCGCGAGCGCCGGTGCCGCAACAGCGGTACCCAAACAGATAGCAAAATGCTGGGCCGCCGGGCTCATCGCTTGCATGGCGGCAATGGCTGCATTTGCGGCTTCATCGAGGTCGAGCCGGGAAAATCCATGCTGAACTCGGAGCTGCGCGAGACCAGGGGACTGGGTATGCCGGGCAATATGAACGAGCATCTGCTGACGGTGTCGAGTCAGTACTTTGAGGCGGTCTCGTGCCAGCCCATTGGCGCGGACGAGCGCATGCGAAACATCTATCTAACGCGAGCGGAGCCGCCCGGCTACGTCTGCTGTGGCTGTCAGGCCATGCGCCTGCACAAGCGGCATCGTAAGCCCCAGCCGGCTGCGGCAGGTGCACCGGCTCGACCCACCTCGGTGCGCATACTGCTGCCCCCATCGCCGCTGCCGCCGCTGCGCTCCACTCACTTGGAGCATCGCAAGAGCCGGGAGCTGCGCCGCTGGCGCAAGAGGCGGGACGAGGAGTCCAAGATGCAGTCCTCGCAAAGGGGCACCTATCAGTTTCCCGTTAAGTACAAGAATAAGCCCAAGGAGCAGGTCAAGCAGCGCGCCCAGTGCGTGGATCTCAAGGATAAAGCCGAGCTGAGCTATCTGCTGCGTCGCTCGCCGAAGAACCTCCACCTGCCCATGCAGATGGGGGCGGAGCCAAGCGTCGAGGACGAGTCCTACGATGAGCGCGCCTCGAACGAGTCGAGCAAGGTGGAGGTGCTGCTGGCACCGGACACGCCCCGACTGGTGCTCAACGAAACGGAGATGTCCGGCATGATGCAGTCGAAGAGCATTACGCTCACGGAGAGCTCGTCTCAGGTGGACTCGATGCTGGGCATTGCGAATGCGGCTCGACTGTCCTTCGAGGCGGGCGACTTGCGGCACGGCTCCACGGACACCCTCAACGAGGTGTGGTGTGATCCGGGCATCTTTCTGGCCGCCCGTACGCCACCGGTGCCCCAGAGCCTGCGAGAGCGCCGGAAGCAGCTGACCGTCGATGCCCTCACCGTTGGCTATTTGGGCGCCCCGGTGCTCGGCGAGCAGGCGGCCCGTGCGGCTCTCGAGAAGTGCGCGTATCTGTCCCGTGAGTTCGACAGCCTCAGCCGAGAGCAGCGCACAAAGGACATCGCCCTGCGGCTGCAGCAGCTGCGCCACTTCCAGGAGAAGGCCAGCTGGGACTACGTCTGCTGCATCCACGCGAACGAGTCGCGCGATGGCCATCGTCACAGCTACAACCAAACGATCCCACGCCTCTTCGACTGTCCACTGAACAAGCCGAACTGTGTGCGGCTGCTCAACGAATCGATGCTGGCCCACTTCCTGCACGTGCACTTCAGTGAGCCCGGCCTGGCCCTCAACGAGCTGTTCGAGCGCGACCAGGTGCTGATCATGTTCAAGCCGCGCTCCTTCAAGCGCGCCCACAACGTCTGCCTCTCGATGATCGTCTATGCCGGCGCCAAGGACAAGTCCAACGCTCTGCCCATCACGCACTACATGCCCGACTACAACGTCGGCCTGCCCGGCCGATACAGCAAGTTCACCGGCCACATGCCCATCTTTGTGATGGCCTGTCGCACCCGTCGACGCTTCAGGGAGCGCAGCACGGAGAAACAGTCCCTGGGCTGTGACTCATCCAGCTCGAGTCTCTCGCTGCCGGACAGGCAGTGCGTGGGCGAGAGCGTGATGGCCCTCTGGCTGGTCAGCGTCGAGCTGACACGGCCCATCCATGTGCAAATGACCGTCTTCAATCGTCGCGTCGACATCAGCCGCAGCTCGATCATGCAGGTGCGCGGCCTGAACAAGTGCCACGACTGCGACAAGTTCATGGCCAAAAGCAAAAACTATTTGCGTCTCACCTCACAGGACCTGCGCGTGCTGACCAACAACTATACGGAGCCCGTCTACATGGAGATCTCCGTGCAGGACTATGCCCATCCCGCTGCTCTCGAACGACTGATGAAACTGCGCCGCTCCTACATGCCATAGCCCGAGATTTGACGCTTTCGTTCTGATCCATGTCCGAAGTTTTCTTTTACCAAATTTTAATTGAATATTTAGCTACTGCAATGCTTTTACTCATGTTTGGCAATCACCGAGAGTCAATTATGATCGAGCTTACGTAAAATTACGCTTAAGTGAGTTTTCAAGAGATACGACACACAAAATTTCCGACCAACAAGCGGTTTGGTCCATGGCAAACAACAATAAGAAAAAAAAAAAAAAAAAAAAAAAAACAAATCAAAATTATTTCAATTGGAATAAAATGATCGATAAATTTCTGTTTAATTTTGTAATCGATTTTTTTTTATTTGCATATTTTTTTTCGAGAGAAAGGAAAACCAGCGGAAAATTGAGTCTGTTTTGAGTTCCTATTGATCCGCCCATTTGTCGTCACCGTTCACTTGTTCATCCATTCTCCTCTCCATTTTGTCAGACTTCCTATGCAGAGTCCATCCCTTCGTTCTTTCGCTCGTCTATTCTTTTTTCCGCCTTTAGAATCCTCTATTTTTTTCATCTGCTCTGCCGGACATTTCTTTTGCCATCATTCCTCAAGTACTTGTACCAAACCCTCTTTCATTTTTCCCGATCGTCTTTTAGTACTTTTCTGCTTTCACTCTTCCATTCATTCTTTAACCATCCCCCGTACTGATCTTTTCTTATCCCTTCGTCGGCTCTTTGGTCCGACCGACCAGGGGCTCACAAAATCTTAATTTGTTATAGATAGGTAAAACTCCTGTTGATTCGATTCGATTCGATATTTTAGATGAAGCTTAAAGTTGGTAAATAGAACAAAAAATATTACTTAGTTGGGTCCAAAATGAAGATTTTAAATATAGTGCAAGGAATGTACAAGGAATATAAATATGAATTTATATCAATATAAATCGTCATCTAAAATTATATATGAAACAATTAACTAACTCATTTGAGTTTGGTGTATATATTATATATTATAGTCTTCTCATA